GGCAGGTGGGGGGGCCGGGGACCTGGGGGGTGGGTAGGGGAGAGTCCTCAGGCGTGCTCTTGGCGCCCTACCGGGACACTGCGGGCTGGAGTCCCCGCAGTCTCGAGCTCTTCCTGCTTCCGGCCAGCCCCACCCGAGGGAGGCCCACCGCCCCGGCCTTGCCCGCCGCCTGCGGCAGGTTCCTCTCTTGGCTCCATAGTTTGGAGGTCCTGGTCCTCTCCTGGCCGGTGTCGCTCTACCCCGGGCGTGCCCTCTACCTCCTGGTCTCCGCCGACGTTTGTTTACGTCTTCAGTACAAACAACTTTTCCCTAACTGGGAACTCCTGCGTCTCCACTTGGGCGTCTTATAGGCATCTAATTCTGGACATATTCAAGACCAAACTTAAAAAACAAAAAGTCTACGTGCAAGTTCTCTGGTACAAGGCCAAACTTGCTCTCCCCTGGACCTCCTCCTCCCATAGCCAGCCCGTCTCTGTAATGGCAACCCCACCTTCCTGGTTGCTCAGGGTGAGACCCTTACAGCCGTGCTTGATTTCTCTCACACACTCCACCTGCCGAATGCCAGCGAGCAGGGGCACTGCTGTCAGTGCAGATGTACAGGGAATCCAGCTCCCCTCTCCCGGCCTTAACAGCTGTCCTGGCTCAACCTGCAGCAGCCTCTCCTCCCTGCTTCCGCTTTTGCTACCTGGATTAGTGTTCCAGGGTTTTGGTAACAAAGTGCCACAAACTGAGTCGTTTAAAACAACCGAGAGTTATTCCACAGCTCTGGAGACCAAAAGTCTGAACTCAGGTGTTGGCAGGGTTGGTCCCTTTTGGAGGCCCTGAGGGGGAAGCCATCCCATGCCTCTCTCTCAGGTTCTGGTGGTCACTGGTATTCCTTGCTGGTCCTGAGATGCACCACTCCAGTCTCTGCCTCTGACGTCACATGGCCATCGTCTCCCTGTATCTGTCTGTCTGTCTTGGCTGTTCTTTTAAGGACATCACTCATATTAGATTAAGGGCCTATTCTAGCATGACATCATCTCAACCTAGATCTTAATGACGTCTGCAAAGACCCTATTTCTAAATAGAGTCATAGGCCGGCCCGTGCTCACTTGGGAGAGCGTGGTGCTGACAACACCAAGTCAAGGGTTAAGATCCCCTTACTGGTCATCTTTTAAAAATAAATAAATAAATAAATAAATAAATAAATAAATAAATAAATAAATAAATAGGGTCATATTCACAGGTACCACAGGTTGGGACATGTCTTTGTGGGGACAATTCTGCCCACAACTCTGCCTTATAACCAGAGTAGGAGAGGTGATAGTTTTTTATTTATTTATTTATTTTCCTTTTTGTCTTTTTTTTTTGCTGACTGGTAATGGGATCGCAACCCTCGGTGTTGCGCCCATACTGGGGACAGGCAACAGGATCGCAACCCTTG